TCATAAAATATGGACTTGATGACAGACATGATACTGGAGATAGAATGATAGAATTTTGTACAGCCTATCCCTCCCAAATTTAAAAGTCATCTCAAGAACAGGTTTGAGATATTGAACATTAATGAACGAAGACCAGATGAGCTATGGGATGAGCAAGATTATCATCCATTTAAAAAAATGCAAAAGGTCATTACAAAGATAGAGGAGGAAAACTAAGGCAAATGTCAGAAGAGACTCTGAATATTACACTAGAATGCCAACAATCCAAAACAAAGGAAAGAAATGAGGAAGATAAAGAGTTGAGCATAAGATTTCAAAAGGCAGCTCATTAAGACAGAGTGTTATTTTAAAAAAAAAGTCAGTATTATAACGATATGTGCAAAAAGCTGGAGTCAGAAAATAAAAAAGGGAAGAATTCCTTGGGAATTTCTCAAGCTGAAGGAACTGAAGAACAAATTCAAGCCCCGAGTTGCAATACTTAAAGATGTTATGGGCAATATTTGAGTGATTCAGGAGCATCAAAAGAAGATGGAAGGAATATACAGTAATTGTACCGTCTACACTTCCAAGCATAATGTCCTTCTCCAAGGATTTGACCCTCCTGGCAACATGCACAAAGTATGTCAGATGGATCTTCAAAATCCTTGCCTCCATGGTGCGGCCTGGTTTAACCCTCTCAAGAACAGACCTGTTTGTTTTCTTAGCAGTCCATAATATGTATGTTCAGTTCTCTTCTGCAGCATCACAGCTCAATGGCATCAATTCTCCTTCTGTCATCCTTAATCATTGTCCAGCTCTCTGATGCATTACAAGTAATTGCAAAGACCATGGCCTGGGTTAGGCCCCTTAGTTTCTAGACTAACATCATTGCATGCCAGTATTCTGAAGAGGTCCCTGACAGCAGACTTTCCCAATATAATTCATCTTTTGATTTCCTAACTGCTGGTGCCAAGAGTGTTGATTGTGGGGTCAGACAAGCTGAACTTGTTAACAACCTCAATCTCTTCTCCATCTATTGTGCTGCCAATTGGCCCAGTCATAAGAATCTTTGACACTCCATTGTGTTTCTGAGGTTATAAATCTTTATTGAAGGATATACTCTGTCTATCTCCTGTAGAGCAGCTGGTGGATTCAGACCATCAGTCTTTTGGTTAACAGCCCAGCAAGTTTTACACACCTATCCACAGTGGCCTTCCACTGTATATTCAAGGCTGTAAATTCTTGCAGGAGGAGACTGTCCATCTTTTCTCTATAAAGCAATTGGTGGATTTGAACCACTGACTTTTTAGTTTGCAGTTCAACACTATGCTGTCAGATCTCTTTTAGTATGCTGTTCTTAGGAGTCCTTAAGTTGGATCAACTTACGGTCACCCTAATAAAAAAAGCATAAAACTCTGTTCAATTCTACACAATCCTCATAGTCTCTGATCTTGTAAGCCAATTGTTGCAACCACTGTACAAATTTATCTTGTTGAGGGCTTGCTTCTCTTTTGCTCCACTTTTCCAAGCATGATGTCTTTTTCTAAGGACCAGACTCTCCTATGAGGTGAATAGTATTATCTCTTTCTGAATATATTAATACAGTGTTGTTGTTGCTGTGGTTGTTGCTGTTATGTGCCATCGAGTCGTTTGCGACTCATAGCGACCCTATGTACAAGAGCCCTAAATGCCGTTCTATCCTGTGCCAATATCGCTGTCTCAAACACATTCATTCCCACCACTCCACTCACAGAATTGATCCATCTCATTGAGGGTCTTCCTCTCCTGTTACCTGTCTGTTACCAAGAGTGTTGACTGTGGAGCCAAGTAAACTAAAACTGTTAACTATCTCAATCTTTTCACCATCCATACTGATGACACCAATTGGCTCAGTGGTGAGAATCTTTGCTTTTTTGATATTGAGCCTCAATCCATATTGAAGACTGCAGTCCTTGACCTTCTGCAGCAAGTGCTTCAGGTCCTCCTCAGTTTCAGTGAGCACAGTTGTGTCAACTGCATAATGCAGGTTGATTGCGTATAAAAAGAGTAACTGGTCAGATTAATGTCTAACACTGAGTAAATAATAGCTGTTATTTTTATATTTCACAAAAAATATGTGTTTTATGTGTTTACAATGACAGATTAAGATTTGCCTTTCTATACTTCCAACTTCAGTGCTTAGAAGAGTTCATCAGATTGTAAAATTTTGAGTGGAACATCAACCTACAGTTCCTATTTGAGAGAACTGTAGAAATGTCTGTAATTGCAAAATGATGGACATTTTAAAACTAAGGCTTTTGATATAACTAAAGCTTCTAAATCAAATTTCTTCTTGTCCTGAGCAACTCCATTTTGTGTCTTTTCAAACAGCCTTTGTCATAAGTGTAGCTAAAGCTTCTAAATCAAATTTCTTCTTGTCCTGAGCAACTCCATTATGTGTCTTTTCAAACAGCCTTTGTCATAAGTGTAGCTTAGCATTTCTGTAAATTTTTTTCACAGCACCTTTGATGTGCTATAGGAAAATACAGTTTTGCTTACCTTACTTACATGGCTTCCAAGAGATGTGCCTAAAGTTAGAAATACTAACATGCTTTTCTGTATCAAAACTCTTTTTCTCCTCTTGGCCATAACAATATTGAACATTCTCACTTGTGAAGATTCTTTCAACAAACTCTACTGTCATATTTTATTAGAGTCCTATGGTATATGCAAATTGAATTCCATTATTGATCCTTTGGTAATTAGTATGAAACCATTTCAGCTTTCCAGACCTCAAAAACCAAGCTACAGATATCTAAATGTACTAGGAAACAGTGATTTTTTTTGTTATAATTTACTTCTAATAAAGTATCTGTAGACATCTCTTTGTAACAACTTGGAACTATATTTTAAATTATCCCAGAAAATGTATTTTTAGGTGCACTAGATGCACTAGAGTCAAGTACTACTCATAGTAACAATGAACAACAGATCTGAACCCTGTCTAAACCTTATCATCTCTGACATATTTGAGGCCACTGCTTGTCACTGATTCAATCCATCTTGCTGAAGGTCTTCTCTATCTTACTGACTCTCTACCTTTCTGAGCATCATGCCCCTTTCCAAAGAATAGCCTCTTCTAACAAACCTGCCCAAAGTATGTAATACAAGTATTAGAAAACTTACAGTCAGCCCAAATCGCATCACTTAGAATCTTCCTTGCAAAACTCTCAAGCTCATTGCCATTAAGCTGGAACTGATTCGTAGCAGAACCTCCAGCAGGTTTTCAGAGGCTCTAAATCGCAGGATGTCAGTCTAGAGACTAAGGTGGGCCAAACTCAAGCCAAGGTCTTTGCAATTACTTGCTATGTGTCAGCTGGACAATGACTAAGGATGACAGAAGAAGAATTTAGGCCTTCAAATTGTGGTGCTGGAGAAGAGTCTTCAAAACAGCATGGACTGCCAAGAAAACAAATAGGTGTGTCTTCGAGAGGGTGAAACAAAGTTTCTCCTTGGAGACTAGAATTTTTAAGCTCCATCTCATATACTTTGGGCACAGGGCCAGGAGAGACCAGTCCTTGGAGATGGGCATAATGCTTAGAAGGGTGGACAGACAGTGCAGGAGAGGAAGACCTCTGAAGAGATGGATTTATATAGTAACTGGGCCAATGGGGATTGGTGTGCCAGAATTAGTGACTGGCTCAGGACAGGTCAGGGTTCAGAGCTGCAGTACATAGGGTTGCTATGGGTCTCAGGTGACTTGAAGGCACATAACAACAACAACAAACAAACAAACAAAGTGCAGGAGAATACATTGCCCATTTTTCTCCCACAAAACAGCTGGTGGATTTGAACTGGCACATAGGTTAGCAGCACAACTCCCTACATACCATGCCACCAAAGGAAGTCAAAGCCTACAAAAGTGGTTAAGCAAGATCCTATCGCGTGCTGCTTTGTAAATGTTATCAATTTATAAATACCCCAAATTTACCCCTTAATTGCAGTCTTGTTTTTATCAACCTCTATAATTATAAAGTCCAGTACTTTGTCAAAAATTTTTTGAAGGTTCCCTGTTTTTCAAAATTTTCTTGTCTCTTCAAGCAGGTTTTCAGGAGGGGTGTGTGTGTGTGTGTGTGTGTGTGTGTGTGTGTGTGTGTTTTCCCCTGTCATTACCAGAGAAATATTTTTGAAACTGGAAATTCCAAGGGAATCTTCCTTCCACTTTGACTCCTTTACTAAGAATTTGGACTTCCTCCTGGATATGTAAATAAATTATTCTCTACATTTTATCAAGATCTCCAGATGATTTTTATGTATTTCCTTAGCAAATAGTGACTGAGCTCCTCTAATGCTTTGGCTATCTCCTGAGCTAGGAATTCAAGACAAAGGGGCAAACTGGAAGATGTCCAATACTGGAAGGAAAAAGAGGGGAAACTCAGTGGGTCTCCACTTACTTGAATAAATTATGTTTCTTCTTGTTACGGGCAACGTAGTCGATTCCAGCTCAAAGAACAGGGTATATATTGTGTGCTGCCACTGAATGGGAACCGACCCTTAGCTGACACTCCAGAGGGTTTCAGAGCAGTACATCCCACAGGAAGGGATGCCCATCTTTTTCCCGTCAAAGGATAAAGAACGGCCCTATCTTTTCTCTGTAATCTTTATGAAGATGGACTGCCACATTTTTATTTTGTGGTGGTTTGATGGGTTCCAACTGTTCCCTTATAAGCCCAGCGCTTACCTACTACCCCAGAAAGTCTCCTTGGAGTTTACTCAGAGAAATAAAAGGGGTGAAGTCTGAGTTACTTCTATTGCTCCAACAAAAAAATACCTCCACAAATTTCGGCTCCAGAATTCCTTCCCTCCCTTCCATTCAGTTCTCGCAGAGACGCTTCCCTGTCTCCTTGGCAACTCGGCGTCCACCAATCGAAGCTAAGGATTGCTGGTCACGTGTGCTATGCCAGCCTAAACGGCCCCAACATGGCTGCCCCTGTAAACTGTGTCTGAGAGCTTTCAGTTACTCTTCTGCTATAAGCCTGACCATGGCGACTCCGGCTTTGTGTAATTTGCCTCAGAGTCCAAAGGAGCTTCTTGGAGACCTTTCACAAGAAGAAGATGAGGACTGTGATTCTGAAGATTGGGCCAGCGACTCTGGTTCATCCTCCTCAGCTAGTAGCGATTCTGAGTAAGGCTCTCGAAGAGGGACAATTAAATCCATCTCTCTCTCCATAGAGTGTACACGTGGCTAGGGGGACTTTATAGGGTCTTGCCATATTTAGGATTGGGTGTTTGAGGCTGTATAATAAGTGAGACTTGAGTCACGTGCCAGTTGTGTGATAGAAGCCCAAAGGACCTTTCCATTTGCTACTGGTCACCTTTTTATGTTAGATGAGAATATCCTCCTTTTTGCTAGCAACGTCAGTGCTGTCTGAGAGATGAGAGTGTAGCTATTCGAGTATTCCTAAAACTCTGTTTCTGTTGTGGTGCCTTCTTGCGTTGCTATTGTTGTTGTTGATTGCCTTCGAGTCGAGCACGACTCATAACGACCCTATGAACTTGAAACCCCTTTCTTTACTGATGTAATAATCTTCGTAGCTTTAATATTAGTATTTAAAGAATCCTGATAGTGCGGTGGTTAAATCGCTTGGATACAAAGTGAAAGGTGGGAGGTTTGGCCTTGCAGGAGAATGATGTGTTCATCTGCTTATGTAAAGATTTACAGTCTGGGGCAGTTTTACTGAGTCCTGTAGCTTTAACAGGGCAACAAGGCATTTAGAATAGAGAGACAACATGTTTTCTAAAGTAAATTCTTAAATAACAGTTGTTTTCTTTTTCTTGTAGCAAATTCATTTATACATAAATTAAAGAAAATTTACCCATGGTATTGCCGTGGAGGGCAACTTCTGTTAGGGTATTTCTGCCATATTTTTCTGTACTTGCCCAAGGTTTTTGTGTTTTCTATTTTGTAACATAATATCATTTTTTACGGTTTTTTGTAAAACTTTTTTCCTACTAGTTTATTTACAAAATTCGAATACAAATTTGAACAAATTCTTTCACTTTTTCTCACCCCCTATCAAATTGTATAACCCAATGATTAATTCCCTCTTCCCCATGCACATCCACATCCCCCTGCTTCCAGCCTATCCCACCCCTCCAGGCTCCTTATACTCATTCTGCAGTAACGGTTTTATACAATATTTGCCCTTGTGGGACTGAGTTAGTTCACTCAGCATAATGCTCTCCAATCCCTCCCAAATTAGGTAATAATTTACAAAGTTATTGCTCCTGTGTGCTGCATAGTATTCCATTGTATGAATGTACCATAATTTCTCAATCCATTCATTTGTGGTTGGACATTTGGGCTGTTTCCATGTTCTTGTGATGGTGAATAATGCTGCTATGAACATTGGTGTACAAATCTCAGTTTGTGCCTCAGTTTTCATATTCTCAGGGTATATTCCAAGTAGTGGAATAGCTGGGTCACATGGAATTTCTATGTTCAGCTTTTTGAGGAAGCACCAAACCACCTTCCAGAATGGTTGCACCATTTTACAGTTCCATCAACAACGTATAAGAGACCTGGGAGTAAAGCCCAAAACCATAACGTTTATAAGAGACAAACTGGGATCAAACTTAGAAGCGCTAGTTCAAGATTTAAAGAGACTGCCAAGTACAACCAGAAATGTACAATCTAAAGAGGATAAAATTGATTCATGGGACCTTTTAAAGATTAAATCTCAGTGCACATCAAAAGCTTTTCCCAACAGGGTGAAAAGAAAACTTACAGACTGGGAACAAACATTTGGTAATACCATCTCAGACAAGAGTCATAGAACAAAAGTTTACAGAATACTCCTGGGCCTGCACAAGAAAAAGACTGATAACCCAATTACAATATGGGCAAAAGACATGGAAAGAATTTTCACAGAGGAAGATATTCAAATGGCAAAGAGACATATGAAGAAATGCTCCAAATCACTGGCAAAGAGAGATGCAAATCAAAACCACAATGAGGTACCATCTCACTCCACTAAGAGTGACAAAGTTTAACAGGACAACAAGTAATAGATGTTGGAGAGGATGTGGTGAGAAAAGAACTCTTATAAATTGTTGGTGGGACATAATATTATTTTAAAATATAAAGTATGTGTTACTTTTCACTTTTCGGTAGTACCATCAAAAAGTTGCTTTGATTCAGAACACAGTTTGACTTCAGTTTTGAAAGCACTAAAATATGTCCCTTTGGTTATGGCCTAGAGGCAGTAAACTGTGTTGCAATCCCAAAGGCATGTGATTCCAGTCTACTGACTACTTCATAGGAGATCCATAAACAAACTCCTCCAACTTGTTCCACCAAGATTATAGCCACCAAGAGCCATAATATATTCTAGAGTTTAGCAAGGACAGATTCTGTTTCTTGAACACCTGAACAAGTTTAAAATTGTTCAATATTTTGTGTAATATACTGCACCTATTCTCATTAATTATAAAATTCATGCTTGTTAAGTGATATTAGAAGGGATAATAGATTATATAGAACATTCATATAAGGTTTTGTGCTGGTATGTTCTCCTACATGGGAGCCATAACAAGTTGAGGTGCAAATTCTTCATTTCTCCACATCTTGAACATCACACTATTTTAGCAAAGAGAGAACCTATAACTTGACTCTAGTAAAAAAGCTAAAGTGTAGGAAGGCAGGATCTCTAATTTCTAATGAGTCTCCTGATTTTGGTGGAATGAGACAAGTGATCTGTCCTTCATCTAGTTATTTTCCAAGAAACAGAAAATGAGACAAGATAAAGGAGTTTTGTTTTTTCTCCTACTCCTCATTTTAAATTTATTTGTTTACAAAGCATTCATAGGAGAGGAGAACACTACTAGTTACAAAAGTGTAAACAAATTTTTTATCTTCCATTTATTACTTTCCAAAAAGATTATACCAGCTTTAGATTCAGCTGTAACTCTCTTGTCTCTAGTATCTGAAGGATTTTTTTTTTATTTACCACTTTTTCGGTACGATAAAGACCTTACTATTGAGTCTATTGAAAGCTCTCTGAATGGCACAAATAGATTGTGCTTGACTGGTAATCTGAAAGTTGATAACGCAGACTCATGTAGTAGTGTGATGGAAGAAAAGCCTGACAATCCGCTTCCATAAAGATTACAGGCAAGGAAAGTCTGTGGAACATGTTTGCGCTGAAACACATGTTTTGTCATAAACTGGAGTCGGCTTAACAGTAGCAAGTTTGGTTTTTTGGTATTGTGTCTTCTTTATAGCAAACTCAGCTCATTACTGTCAAGTCAGAACCAACTCAAAGCTAATCCTCCAGTGGGTTTTTAGAGACCATAAACCGAATGAGAGATTGGTCATCTTTCTCCCAATGAGCCACTGGTGACACTGCTCAACTCCCTATGGACTATAATACCAGGGTTCCCTGCCATATACCAATAAAATTTTTCTTAAATTTTAGATGTATCCATTAGGAAGTGTTTATTACATCCATAATTCCTAAAATGACGAGTTTTATTGTTGAGCTGCTTATCATAAACATGTATCTTGCAGCTTTTTTTGCCCTTTTTCGTCTCTGCCCACTTCCTGTGCTCCACCAGCAATTTATTGCTTCTGATGTTTTTGTAATTATCTGCAGATCCATGTTTTAACTTTCAGAATTTTCAATAGATTCTAAGTTCCTAAAGAACAGAAATTGAAATATGCTATGCGTGATAAATTGATTGACCCAGAAAACATCAATAGAAGATAGAGGGAATACACAGAATCACTGTACCAAAAAGAACTAACTGACTTTGAAAAATTTCAGGAAGTACTATATGAGCAGGAGCCAATGGTAATGAAGGAGGAAGTAGAAGCTGCATTGGCAAAAAATAAGGCCCCTGGAATCGATAGAATACCAATTGACTTCTTTCAGTTAACATTTGCAGCCTTGGATGCACCAGTCTATGCCAGGAAATTTGAAGGACACTGTCTCACCAATGGATTGGAAGTGATCCATATTTCTTCCAATTTCCAAGAATGGTGATCAAGCACAATGTAGAAAATATTGAGCAATCTCATTAATATCACATGCAAGCAAAATACCGCTGAAGATCATTCAAAAATTACTACAACAGTACATATAAAGTGAACTGCCAGAAGGTCATACAGGATTTAGAAGAGCCCCTGATGGATCCTGGCTTAAAGTAAAGCTGCAAGGTGGGGATGGGGGAGCAGAGGGTTGAGGATGGGCGGGGGAGGAGGTGCTCAATCATAATTTGATGAGTGGAGGGAGGGGTGAGTTAAGAAAAGGGGAAAGATACACTGTGAAAAACAATCTATATGAATTTTGTAAGTAAACTAGTATTAAAAAATACCAGAAGAATGTCTCTTTATGCTTTGTTGACTATGCAAAGGTATTTGACTATGTGGATCATAACACAAGTTATGATTGAGAAGAATTGGGAAGAAGACTTGGCTGACAGTGAGAAGAATGGGAATCCCAGAGCAGAATTGTATCCCTTATTTGTGCTCATGCAAAACCTATACCTAGACCAGGAGGCCATTGTGTGAACAGAGCAAGGGAACACTGCATGGTTTAAAATTAAGAAGAGAGTGTGTCAGGGTTGAATTCTGTCTCCATACCTATTGAATCTTTATGCAGAGCAGATTATTCAAGGAGCTGAATTAATATGAAGAGGAATGTGGCATCAGGATTAGAGGGAGACTCATCAATAACCAGCATTATGCAGATGACACAAACTTGCTTGCTGAAAGTGAGGAGGACTTGAAGCATTTGTTTCAGGATATCAATATGAATTGCATTTCAGTATCAAGGAAACAAAGATTCTTACCACTGGGCCTATTGGCAACATCTTGATAGATGGAGAAAAGATTGAAACTGTCAACAACTTCATCTTACTTAGATTCACAGTTAACATCCTTGGTACTGTCAGGAGACGCACTTCACTGGGAAAGACTGGTTAGAGATCTCTCCAAATTATTGACAGCAACAACAATGAGGTCCGTTTAAGGACTAAGGTGCATCTCATTCAGACCATGGTCTTTCTGATCATTTGCTATGCATCTGAAAGCTAGACAGTGAAAAAAGATGACAGAAGAAGAATTGCTGCCTTTGAGCTTTGGTATTGGATAAGAGCATTGAGCAGCCCATGGATTACCAAAGA